ATAAAATTATAAATATAAAAATGAAGCCATTAAAAATTCTTCCCCAGTCAGCACACTAGTGTGGATCATCCAACCAGGGTGAGTTACCATACCATGATCAAGTTAGAATTTAGATTCTAAGGGAACTGGATAATGAGCTAGATCCCTCAATTTGTCAATGAAAGGCCACCACAGCTGTAGTTCTATCCTGTATTCCAGTCCCCCCAACAGTCCTTTCTGACCTCAGGAATGTTTATTGCCAGAGTCCAATCGTTAAATACTGGGTTCTAGACACATTGCAGTGATCAGCTCTGTTTTATTAAGTGATTTCAGCAGACTACAAGACAAGCTAGCAGGGCTGGAGCCCTGATTATAAGCATGCAAAACACCACACCCAACACACACACACTCCCAGTGATAGGCTATTTAAAATTCACTGCTTATCTATTGGTTACGTCCTGGATCCAGGCGAGCTATTGTTCTAGAGGAGTAAGCTCAGCCCATTCTAGGTACAGCTAGAGGAAAGGCTTAGGCTCAATACATAACACCCATATAGACCAATAGCCATGTGGGTCAAGAGTCTGCAGTGGGGAGGGGGGAAAGAAATCCTTTCTGCCTCTCCCATCAGCTGCAGCTCCACTGATGAAAGTAGGAGACCAGGCTTCCCAAGTACTTACCGTGATTCGGCGGGGGACACAGACGTCTTCGCAGGATCATTCCCGCGGGGACAACAGACGCACTGCACCATGCCGTCCACAGGAAGTGACGCTGGGTGACGCTCTGGCAATGGGGCTGGAAACTCGATGGTACCATCGAGTTTTCAGCCCCATTGCCAGAGCATCACCCAGCATCACTTCCTGGGGGCGGCATGGTGAATTACAGGTAGGAATGGTCTGGCCAGGGAGCATGTTTCCCCCACCGGATCGCGGTAAGTACTTGGGAACCCTAGAGGAGACAGTGATTTCACCTTCCTGCTGCGCCCTTGCCAACCATATGGCAATTTTATGTCCAGTTGAGGGGCTTATTTTACTAAACTTTTTTGCTTTCATTTATTAAACCATTAAGTGGCTATATTCAGTCTAAACTGCATTTCAGGATATTAATATGCAAACATATTTATATAGTCCTTTCAGTATTCATAGCCCCTATCGCAACAATCCCTACAACAGCCTTGTATGGTAGGCATATGTGATCCCCATATTGCAGAGGGGGACTGAGTCTGTGAAAGAGTGACTTCCCTAAAGCCAGCTCATGAGTTTGTGGCTGAGATGAGATTTAAACCAATACCTGGATTACAGATTAATTGCTAAACCAATATGCTGCATCAATTTAATACACTGATATTACATTTAGTAGATGTCAAACTTAGTTCAGTACAAGGCATGACAATGCAGTAGTCAGGATTACAATATATAAGCAGGAGCAGCAGCCCTTAATGCCTTGTGGTGCTTTATATCTACTCCATAGAACTGAGAGCAGCATTGGCCAGATGTAGGAGGGATGCCCCCCTACCTGTGTGCCTGTAATTCATGGCACCCATGCCTCAGGTTGGCCATCCGGTTTGACATTTGAACTCCCTGCCTTGATCACCCACACCTTAAATTCTGCCGGGGCTGTTTGGCTATGGTTTTTAATTTTATTTCTTTTCCTGTGAGATTTTATAGCATTCATATACATTGATAATAGTTGCAGTCTAGTCATGAATGATATAAGCATTGGGAACTTGATACAGCCTCTGTGTGAGGAAGGGCAAAACACTGTATGGACATACTCTCATTTATGGAAACTCAAGGAAGGGAAGAATAGGACATTGAAGGATAATAGACAGCCGGGGACTGGAAATAAAAAATAGGCGCTACCATGAGACAGGAATTTCTATTGAGTGAAAGTCTGTGCTTCAGCAGCTATAAGCCCCTGCAAGTCAATTCTGATTTGAAGACTGCTCACACATTTCACATTGCTTGCAACCTACAGGACTAGTGACTTGCTCTTGCAACAAAATTAAGCACCATTCCATTCTTTTTCTTTTTAAAAAAACCCTCTTTCCTAGACCTGATCCAGTCCACATGTGGCCATAGGAGCACAGTTTACATGTTCTAGAACTGCCGCATTCCTGGTTTCAATTAGGCTCTGATGTGCTCCACAACATCTCGTACAACTTCCCTTTATAGCTACTAGTATTTCTCTTGTCCCAAATTATTGTACTATATGATGCCACGCCATCTAGGATAGCACAACATGGATACCCAGTGCACATTACCTGTCCCAGGGCATTCTGATGTTTGTTTCTAGGATTCAAAAGTCCTTCAGAATAATCAAGGGACAGGTACAAGTATATAGAAATGGTTATAATAATCAGGACATTCTGGCTATATGTTCCAGA